CTGCGGTGGAGTTTGTCATGAAGAATCAATGATCTTTAAATGATAGGTTAGGTCATTGAAGAGAATTATGTAATTCAATTCGAAAAACTTCACAATGTTAGCTGAACACGACTCTCCACAATGGTATGATACTGTCCACTTTGAGCATAAGCTCTCATGGCTTTGCTTTGGGCTTTCCCAAAAGGCCTCATGTCAATGGAGAGAGTATTCCTTGATTTATAAACCCATGATCATTCCCTAAATTAGCCAATGTGGGACTTTCATCATCCAACACACGACACTTCTTATTTTCTTATTGGCAAATTATAAATTATCTACTAAAAATATAAAATGAGAATGCAAAAAAATAGAAAGTAACACTACGCATTCAATATATGCAATGCTAGAAAAAAAAATGGTGGCTGGCAGAAAAATTGATAGTTAATACAAATAAAGCGTCAGATAATACCAAATTATGAAAATAATGAGTGTGATTTCATACCATATTGTAGACGAGTCTGGGGTAATACCAAAAAAATAACCCCCAGGTTTAAGCAATAAAGACACATTATGTAAAAGTCTCCTCGCTCTCTCCTCAGTTTCGAAACACATCTACAAAAAGGTCCTTCATATTATGTATACGTCATCTAATATATGGAAAACAAGAATCAACTCTCTCCCCTACAATCAATCCACATAAAAATAAAAAGAAAGAAAAAAAGAGGACCTGCAGATGCTGCAAGCAGCAGACTAGATCGGCTGTCTCAGCTTTATCTTTCATCTGAGTTTCAATATTTTCCTGTCAAAACAGATAAAGTCAGATGGAAAATAACAGAAAGAACTTGATGTTACATTCTACCTGATAACATACACGTACACATTTTGTAACTAATGGCATTATAAGTTTAACACTTGCATTATAACTAGAGGCCCAAATGAATTAGCATTGATCACGATGACAATTGTTCGACATGTAAATAATGATATAAAAGTTCCAGGTTGCTAATGCATGTACGTGCTGGTGTGTGAAGTGAATTCCAGTCCAGGTGACGTGCGGACTTGAACATTTCTTTGTTACCGAAGTTTAATAAATGATGCCAAGCAGGAGAGGGGGAAATTTTTCATTCTACTTCACGATTCTTTCAAGTAAAAGTCTGATTTCAATATTCGTATCATAAAGACATACTGATCAAAGACATCATTTTGAAAGCAGGACATAGTTTTTCTTTGCAATATCTCAGTTATTTATTTTTGCTCTTTCTCTAAACAAATGCACTTTTCACTAAAAGTTACGTCCTGTCCATCACAAAAGCTATAATCTCAAATAATACATAGATATATAGTTCAACCAGTGCCCTCTTCATGAGCTAATCTAGTATTCTGTGATTGTTTTTTGCCCTGTTTATTCCAATAAGCATGAGCAATAATGATATTAGAGCAGTAGACCTGATGATGCTGAAATTTTGAGCACTTTTAGAATGTTTCAATTCATTTTTTGGCCAGCCCCTTATACTCAACACGCTGATTAGGGAAGCCTCTTTAAATAGATTCATCAAGTATGTGAAGGAATTTCGGAGAACTGTTCGTGAAAACGATTAATCAAATAAAAACAGCATAATTTGGTTCTTAGTGAGCATTAATCAAATTTCCATGCCATCAAAACAATGTTGCATAAGTATTAAGAATAAAACTACATGGCATGAATTTCAAACGTCTTAGTACTTGTCTATCTTAAGAATCTATTTGTTGTACAATCATGTTCACTACTACAGAGCAACTCCGAAAATCTTTCAAGGAAGTAGCATTTATCATAAAGGAAAATTTCAAAGACGATAATATTTCACTTGGGCGTCTCCCGGACAGATTTCCTCCCAGTACTAATGAATTCTGTGACCAAGAACACTTAAAGAACAATCTGCTATGATCCAAATTTACAATAAAATCCTTAAACTAGTAAGATAAGATTATAAACATTACTTTAGTCAACATACTGATTTCACCAAACTTAGTTTAAAAGGTCAGATACATCGCTTGCCTCCAGAACTAGTAGAGGAAGGAAACAATGATCGCATCATACAATTATGTTTTATCCTTAATTTAGTGAATGGTTACTGATAAGAGTACTTTCAACTTGCATAGAACTTGTAGTTTCATGGAAATCCTCCCTCAGTTGTTATTGCTCTCACTAAATTGATATTTCTTGGATTTGAAAAGGAAGATAAAGAACTAGCAGCAAAAAACTCACCACGCAAGGATCAACTTCAAAGAATTCAGCAGTGTAAGCCTTTCTCTGGCTCTCCCATGCCTCCCGCATTTGGCCGATTCCAGAGGTGGATGCATCTAAAGAATAGCAATTCCATCAAAAGAACAATACAACAAAAATACAACAAAGCAACTTCTTATGATGAAAAGAAACAAGAATCTCAGAAAAAACCTAGATACCAATTCCAATATAGTGACTGAATTGCGCTTCGTCCCACTTCTCCGCATCCGTTCCTCGTGCACAATACAAATCACAAACCTTCATAAACAAAACCTAATTACATCTTGCATAAATTCCTTTCAACCTAAATCAAATACGCCAATTGAAGACGGAGTTTCACGACGAACCGTAACGTAGGGGTGCGCGAAGATCTTTATTAGGGCGGCCTTGGCGAAATCGTACAGGCGGTGGTGAGTCGACTCGGTCCTCGACGGAACAAGTTGACTCATTATGATTCCGAGTTGACAGTTCCTGATAGCCGGAGCAACGATTCGCGCCTTTTTTTTACCCTCCGTTTTCAAGTTTCGAAATTCACCCACGAGACTGATTAAAGAAGATTAAAAATCTCATGGGAAGATAATATTTTTATTAAAAAAATTAAAAAATTTATGGTTTTTTTTTTTTAGCTTTTAAAATTTTTTAAAAGTATTTAAGGTATAATTAAAAATTAAAAAAAAAAATCAAACTAATAATGGTATTTTCTTTTCTTTTCTTTTTTTTTAATTTTTAAGAAAATCTTTTAGATTTTTTAAAAAATTTAAAGATATTATTCCAATTTTACTGTAATGACATAGATTGAAAGTTAATAAATTATTTTCAAGGTAAATAATTTGAAACTTAAAAGATTTGTGTGGTATTTGCTTTACCAAATCTTGTAGGGTAAATTTTATATTTAATATTTTGGGTAAAAATGAATGGTATTAGTTAAAATTCTAAACTAATCACTCTCTTAATTTAAGCTCTAGATTTTATTCGAAAACAAATTAATTTTTAAATTTTTATAAATAAATTAATTTTAAATTATTTGTTCGTGCATATTCATTTTTCAAATTGAGAGTCTAGATTGTTCATTTTAAAAAATTTAAGAATTTAAATGATATAATTTGAATAAATTTTTTTAAATAAAATTAAATAAATCATATAAATTGACCTAATATTTTTGTTATATCAATCTAAGCATAGTTTATTGTATAAGGCATCAATATATCATTTTTAAGGTAGACGGTTTGATTTGATACTCACATCCCTTGAACTCAATAAAGAAATTAATATTTCTATTTGTTAAACCTTTTCTATTCTTTGAACCAAAAAAAATTACCATTTTCTATTTTATAAAATAAAAGAATTCATTTTTTAAAGAAAAAAAAAACTAAAAAACTAATATTTGAATATATAATTTTAGTGATAATTTGTAAAATAAAGTTACATGAACCATCTTCCATCACTTTCTACAGCTTTTTTTTTTTTTTTTTTTTTTTGTTCCTATTTACAAAGAAGTTTTAAGACGTAAAGTATGGATGAGAAGAAAACATTAATAAAAGGACGTAGAAAAAAATGTTCTCTCAGAATTATCATAAAAGGGTCTTCTAGAGAAATTTCGTTTCGTTTCCCTCTTTCACTAATGTTGGATTGCACACGATTTTTAAAATGTGTCGGCTAGAAAGAGATTTCTACACCAGGAATCGCTAGAAAGAGATTTCTACACCAGGAATCAGTGAGATCTTACAATCCATCCTGATTGGAGGCCAACATTTTTACTAACACACTCTTACTACCACACGGTTCGGTGTCTAGCTATGATACCATTTGTAATAGCCCAAAACAATCCACTCTGATTGGAGGCCAACGTCCTTGCTAACACACTGACCGGTATCTATCTATGATACCATTTGTAATAGTCCAAACCTATTGCTAGAAGATATTATCCGCTTTAGCTAGCCTCATGAAAGAAATATTCAAAATTTTGTTCTAAGATAACAAATTACTGCTGAAAAAAGGTTCCAAATAAAAGCATAAAATTGGACATTATGATCCATTCCTGCTATAAAAAAAAAACAGAGCTAAACTACACTGCCAGTAACTTCCGATCACCTGAAAAGAAGCAATTTGGGTTTATAGATGGTTTGACAATGCAAACCAAACCTAGGATTTTGTTCTTCTTGGTTCTCTGATACTCATTTTCGAAGGAGATATCGAAAACCCGACGAGCATTCTCTGTCCGAGACATCAGTGATAACACATAGATTGCAACCATACCTCCCAAAATGGCAGAAATCCAGCTTCCATTATATCCTCAAAAGAAAACTAATCAACAGAACTCAGGAAAGCAATGCACCAGAACACCCAGAATTGCATTACCAAGTTGAAGTCTACACAATTTTTTGAATTCAAAAAGCATAATGGAAAATCAATTACCTACAAAACTTGTACAAGCGAATCGGATGAAATAAGGTTGCTGGTGCCAATCATTATTGAAATTAAGGCAGTTTATTCAACTTTTGGAGAAAGTTGTCTACTCCTAATGAGAATGACTTGTCTGTCCGACTCCAGATTGAAAGCCATTTTCGATTTCTACACGCTCAGCTTCAGTTAACTTTTGACTGATGAGGTCTCCAGAATGTCATAGTGACCGTACCCATGAAACAGCACGTTGATAGGACTTTCTTCACCCTTCTGATACTCCTGACCATACTCGGCTATGTTTATCAGACCATCGGAGCTACTCCCTCTCATGAATACTGATATCGGTGTCCTGCGAGATGCAAAGTGTTACGAGAAGGAGATGAAGGTTTAGTAACTAAAGGGTCTTCAACTTTGAACCGAAATTCAATGTCCCATTACTATGGTTTTCATCTATCTAAATGTGGTAAAATCATTGTACCTAGCTAAAATAACAATCATTCAAGGATGAAAATGTTCATCAATATATCCGTAAATTGGAGGGTTCGACGTGGACATTGAGGTTTAAGAATAGATATCTTCCAATATTGTTTATAAATACTCATAAAACATAAAAAGATATCATCGATTAACCCCAACATAAATATAAATACTATGAGCAAGATCTATAACTTAGTTTGAATAGGTTTTTTTATTTTATTTATAGAAATTTGCATCGATAACTTTGCAAAAATGAAATCTCGATATTGATGACATCATCGACATTTGTATCCTTGTAATAATTCAGATAAGAGTAAGTTTTGGAATGACTTTTGAGAACAACTTTGGAGTGAAATACCTTTTTATAAATACTTTTGAGAAAAGCATCCAAAAACACTTTTAAGGAACTTTATGGATAATTAGCTTTAAAACATTCTCCACTATCCTAAAAGTAACCTCAATCAGTAGATTATGAAAATAATATAGAACACTTTTTGCCAGATATTACCTAAAATTAAAAGCACTGTTAACCACTTTAAAGGTAAACCTGGATGGAACACTTGATTTATGAAAAGTGTTTGGATTAACGGTACTAATTTCAACAACTGCACCGATCTCACCCTTTCGGATAGTATATAATCTGGTGATTTCCCTATCCCAAGTTATTGGTATGCTTGTCCTAAGCGCATATAAGCTCAAATTAAACCCCATTTGATGAGACCCACTTTCTCTTACTTTTACAAAACATAAAGAACTCACAATCCAAATACAAGCTGAAGGTTCTCAACCTTGGACGTCTTAGACTCGACTTGTCACTGTCATAAACCAAACATCTCCAAATACAAGCCTAAGGTTCTCAACCTTGGACGTCTTAGACCTTGTTACTGCCATAAACCAAACATCTACACACACAAACCTAAGGTTCTCAACCTTGGACTTCTTAGACTCGACTTGTTACTGCCATAAACCAAACATCTACACATACAAGCCTAAGGTTCTCAACCTTAGACTTCTTAGACTCGATTTGTTACTGCCATAAACCAAATATCTCCGAATACAAGCCTAAGGTTCTCAACCTTGGATGTCTTAAACTCGACTTGTCACTGCCATAAATCAAACATCGCCAAATAAAGCCCAAGGTTCTCAACCTTGGACGTCTTAGACTCGACTTGTTATTGCCATAAACCAAACATCTCAACCTTGGACGTCTTAGACTCAACTCATTACTGCGATAAACCAAACATCTCCTTCTTAAGGGTCTACAAGAAGCCCACAGCTCACAGCTAAAATCCCAAAGCCCCCTACCCTCACAGAAAAATACAAACATGTTGTGTCTATTGACACATGAAAGCTTAAAGTAAAAAGGGAGAAAGAGCTACTCACATACACACAAAAACAGTGACTCAAACTGCATCAAATTAGTGTCAGTAACATATCAGCTTATTAGAAGAACAAAGTGTTTAGTTACCACTTTGTGAGACATTATTCAAAGTGGTTTGCTGTTTTGTAACATTGGATATAGGACAGAGAATCGAAAAATTATGGTTTCACCGTGTTGGATGATGAAAGTCCCACATCGGTTAATTTAGGGAATGGTCATGGGTTTATAATGTAAGAATACACTCTCCATTGGTATGAGGCCTTTTGGGAAGCCCAAAGCAAAGCCATGAGAGCTTATGCTCAAAGTGGACAATATCATACCATTGTGGAGAGTCGTGTTCGTCTAACATGGTATCAGAGCCATGCCCTAAACTTAGCCGTGTCAATAGACGTGTTCGTCTAACATGGTATCAGAGCCATGCCCTAAACTTAGCCGTGTCAATAGATTGGCAAATCCTTAAATGTCGAACAAAGGACTCCAAAAGGAGTCAAGCCTCCTCGAAGGTACGAAGGCAGTNCAAAAATGACTAAGACTCCAAAGGAGTCGAGCCTCGATTAAGGGGAGGCGTGCTTTGTTCGAGGGGAGGTGTTGGATGATGAAAGTCCCACATCGGTTAATTTAGGGAATGGTCATGGGTTTATAATGTAAGAATACACTCTCCATTGGAATGAGGCCTTTTGGGAAGCCCAAAGCAAAGCCATGAGAGCTTATGCTCAAAGTGGACAATATCATACCATTGTGGAGAGTCGTGTTCGTCTAACATGGTATCAGAGCCATGCCCTAAACTTAGCCGTGTCAATAGATTGGCAAATCCTTAAATGTCGAACAAAGGACTCCAAAAGGAGTCAAGCCTCCTCGAAGGTACGAAGGCAGTCAAAAATGACTAAGACTCCAAAGGAGTCGAGCCTCGATTAAGGGGAGGCGTGCTTTGTTCGAGGGGAGGTGTTGGATGATGAGAGTCCCACATCGGTTAATTTAGGGAATGGTCATGGGTTTATAATGTAAGAATACACTCTCCATTGGTATGAGGCCTTTTGGGAAGCCCAAAGCAAAGCCATGAGAGCTTATGCTCAAAGTGGACAATATCATACCATTGTGGAGAGTCGTGTTCGTCTAACACACCGCACACACATCCAACGATTTAGAGGGTACCAGCCACAATATAACCGTCACGTTAAATAATTTTTTCCCACTTTGTTTCGTATTCCTCTTTGTTTTAGGAGAAATTTTTATGCAAACTAATAAGAGTTGAATTTTGATAACATAAACAAAAACTTACTTCAGGACATGAGATGCCATGACCAGCTCAGGCTCTCCACCCCACACGAAAGGTTGCTGAATTCTCTTCACATATGCATCAAAATCTCCTTCAATATACCTACATGCATTTTCAATCATCACAATCACAATCAGCCCATTTTTTAATCCAACCAAATTGTTCAATTCGTGTCACAAACATCAGAAGAGCTTACCACTCTGTTTCCTTCCGCCTCTTTAAAAGCTCATCCACGACCTGTAAAGAATCAATAATCACATTCAACAATCTTGAATATTACGCATTCTTTTCCACATTGGAAGATTATACATGAATACCAATCTTACCTTAGCCCTTAATTCATCAGCGAGTTCTGTTTGACGATCATCATCAGGAGCTTCTTCCCCACTCTTCAAGCAAGCTCCATGAGCGATTGCCCTAAACAGACACCTACCATCCGCTAGCACGCCTGTTGATGTCAACAACCAGCAGAGCAATCAATAGCAGTAGCCAAGCAAGAATGGAAATGCTAGAGAGATTATATCAATTCTATCAAACTCGTATCAAAGAAATGAATTGAAAAAAACATAGAACTAAGATTATACCATTAAATGATAACTTCCTTCTGTAATCGTCACAAATCAAAAGGAAATTAACTGAGTATAGAATACGTTCAATGAATTGAATTGGCAAATTTTCCACAATACCTGTCACCCTGTAATCAGGTGAGTTCTCATCGTCCTGATTAAATTCATTGCCGCTCGATTCAGACCCTTCCTTCTTCTGTTCTGTCGATACAGACTCTTGATTTGCATCCACCCAATCGAGCGGCGCAAGACAGTCACAGACTCCAAATAGCAGCCAAGCTGAATCGGGACGATGAAGCCAGCGGGCGGGGCGGGCATCCCAAGCGACGTTCCAAGAGCCCTCCCCTTTGCGCGCATGGCAATGAATCGCCGGACGACGGAGATCGCTAGTGCCTCCTGCGCCGGAAGGCAATATAGCGTGCCATATCGAAGCAGCACCACCGACCGCGAGCTTGCATGCGCTGGAATGGTGGCGCTGTCGCCGATCGAATTGGATAGGACTCTGAACGAGTAACCGGTTCTGCTGGTGGTGGTGATGGTAAACGGCCGAGCTGTGAAAGAAATTCGAAAGGGAAACGAGAATCCAAGGCTTCGAACGAGCACAAAGTACTCCAAGCATCAGTCACTTGCATCAATCGAGGCAATCCAGCGCTGACAGGGTGTTCCCTTTGCTGACCCTATGCGGCCATATTCAGAGCTTCGGCGGCCGGTGTCTCTCTATCTCTCTCTGTTCTCCTTTTTTCTCTCTCCCACAAAATTCAGAACAGATTTTTCTTCGATAATCTGCAACGGCGAAATATTTTAGGGAAGAGAGATAGAAATACTGTCAAGTGAGGCCCACCATCCAAAAAAAGTCTCTTAGAAAAATAATTCTTTTTTACCTTTTTTTAATTATTTTTTTCGAGAGAGTGGTTTTTGTTTTATGTTTTAAATATTTAAAAATTATTTTTAAATATAGTTTGTGTAGTTTAAATAATAATAAAAATTTAACCACCTAAAGAAATAATAATTCCGTATTAAACAAATGAATAAGATGTGACAATATAATATAAGAATTTTATTTTTATTGAACTCTTTATATTATTAATTTAGTTTTATAGTCTTCGTTTATTTTCAATTTCGTCCCCTTAAAAAATTAAACAAAAAAAATAAAAATATTTATTAATTGTTTTTATTAATGCCATGTTATTTTAGGTACAGCCACAAAATTTCAGAGGTGGAAATAACAAATTGGTTTGATATTTTTTTATTTCAAAAAATTTCATACGTGTCAAAATCTAGACCACTCAAATTGCATGCATAAAGATGTCTGTTTTTTTTTTTTTTTTTTAAGAATAATATGTAATTAATTTATAAATAAATAATAGTTGTTGGGTTACACAGTTACTTAGCTTATATCTAAGGAGATGGCGATAGCAAGTTTTGGTAGGTCGGAAATATGACTTTTACTAAACTCAATCAACAGTTTGTGGGTAAAAGAGTAATTGAACAAATATGGAATACGAACGTTTTGAGAGTTCAAAAGCGGTTGAGTATTTATTCCGTACGGTCTTATTCGATCTAATTGTGCCATGTAATCCTTTTACATTGAATAACGCCCAAATTTTGTTTCCTCGAATCAAAATTTAGTAATTCTTACTTAAAATTAAAAAGTGATATCTAACTCGCTCAATCATATGAACAGTTGATCCTAACGGTAATGTACCAAGTTCAATTGCTTTTAACTATAAAACTATTGATAAAATTGTTTTGAGAATTCAAAAGCGGTTGAGTATTTATTCCGTACGATCTTATTCAATCTAATCATGCCACGTAATCCTTTTACACTGAATAACGCTCCAATTTTGTTCCCTTAAATCAAAATTTAGTAATTCTTACTTCAAATTTAAAAAGTGATATCTAACTCGCTCAATCATATTTACAGTTGATCGTGACTATAACGTACCGAATTGTTTTTATCTATAAAACTATTTATAAAATTTTTATCCAAATAACTAAATTTTTTTAATGATTTACGACTCTCTCTTTTTTTCTAATAATTTCATTTTAAAATTATTTTCATATAAATATAGTATTTTATTTTATTATGAATTAAAATATATAGTAATTTCAAATAAATAAATAAATAAAAACCCCTAAAATATTATTTTTCCAAATAATTTCCAAATAAATAGTCGGAGAGATATTATTGAAAAATATTTATAACTTATAAAATGAAATTAAAATACATTTTTTTCAAGAGAAATAAATAAATAAATAAATAATAGCTCTCTACACATTATTACTATTTATATTTAGCCATTATTTACTCCTCACCCTAAATAAATAAATAAAAACTTATTATTAT